TGACGAATCGGATACCCATACGAGATGCTATCGACTATTAAAGTTCCTTCGGAAGCATGGAGGAGCAGGAGATAATAAATGATAATCCATCGTATTACACCCAGACCGAAATGGCAGATGACTTATGTAACAACACTAGAACCCGATGTCTTAAACGTAAACCCCCTTATTTATTAAACGAGGATTTTTTTATTTAACAAAACAAGACGAAACTAATTTAAAGGACAATTAGTTTCGTCTTGTTTTGTTCGTATCACTCAAATGCCATTTGTAATTTAATAAACAGAGACAAAATATAGTAGTCTAAACTTATCTTCGTTTATTGTACAAGGAGGTAAAATAAAATATCTTAGACCAACACTTAACGGGAATTATGAACTATAGGTAGATAGTTGAGAATGAAACAAATGTTTTTTATTGTTTCAGGCAGCAGTACCGGAGGGTATGACGTTTGCCGGTCCGCTGCCCGATGTAGCCGAGAGGTGCGGGCGGTGGGCGCCCGACTCCCTGTCAGCATCGGCGTCCGGCAGCTCGGACGAGAAGCCGACGCCGCGCCGGCCGCGCTGGCGCATCGCACTCGCAGCGCTGGTCGTACTGGCCGCGCTCGGCGCCGCTCTCGCGTTGCCTCTCGCGCTCGGCGGCGGCGGCCGCGCCACCCCCGAGCAACGGCTTACTACAATACGGCGTATGCTGCGTGATTCGCCTCTCGTCGACGGTCATAACGACTTAGCGTGGAATGTCAGAAAATTTTTGCATAACAAAATCAGTGATTTCAATTTGAGTGCTGGACTCGAAGGTCTCGAGCCCTGGGCGAGGTCGCGCTGGTCGCACACAGATATCCCCCGGTTGAGGCTCGGACAAGTTGGCGCTCAATTTTGGTCTGCTTATGTACCGTGTGGAGCTCGCGATAGAGATGCTGTGCAACTAGCACTAGAGCAAATGGACGTCATTAAACGTATCGTGGAGATGAATGCTGCCCACATGGCGCTCGTCACCGATGCGACGGAATTGTTAGAGGCACATCGAGATGGACGCATCGCTTCTCTTATCGGTGTCGAGGGTGGACACGCCCTTGGCGACTCGCTTGCTGTATTACGCGCCTTTTATCAACTGGGAGCTCGATATCTTACTGTAACGCACACTTGCGATAATAGATGGGCTCGGGCGGCTGGTACATCAGGTGGGTTAACAGAATTCGGCAAAGCCGTCGTCCGTGAAATGAATAGACTCGGTATGATAGTAGATTTATCCCACGCGGGAGAAGAAACTGCTCGCGATGCTTTAGAAACCTCTCAGGCGCCTGTTGTATTTTCACATTCCGGAGCAGCCGCTCTTTGTAATTCCACTCGAAACGTTCCAGACGAATTGTTGAGAATGATTGCCGCGAATGGTGGCGTGGTCATGATAAATTTTTATGCAAAGTTAGTAACATGTGGCGAAAGAGCGACAGTGGAAGACGTGGTGGCGCACATTAATCACGTGCGGCGTGTGGCGGGAGTGGAGCACGTAGGCCTGGGTGCGGGTTACGATGGAATCGACGCGCCTCCCGAGGGGCTGGAGGACGTGTCCCGGTACCCGCACCTGCTGGCGGAGCTGCTGAGGGATCCGGACTGGAGCGAGGAGGACGTGCGCAAGCTCGCCGGCATGAACGTAGTGCGCGTGCTGCGGCATGTGGAACGCGTACGCGACCAGTGGCGTCGCGCCGCCGTGCTTCCCGGGGAAGAATCGCCGGGAGTGCGCGCCGGCGTCTGCGTCTACGGGCCCGCGTGACGCAGGCTCACCGCCGCGCGGTATCGCGGCCCGTCTCGTACTGCTCAATATTGACACTTGTTGATCGTAGTTTATACATGTATATTAGTGTCCAAATGTGATTTAGCAATTAAAGTAATCTCTACCTGACCTCGATGCACAAATTGTTTAGCTAAGGAGCCGCGCGCGCTGGGCGCTTCGTCTCGGCGTTGGCCCGCGGTCCACCCGCTGAACTCCTCTCCATCCATGCACACGACTTCGTTGACGAAAGCCCAATGCGATTCGCGATTTATAAACGATATAAAAAGAAATAATGTGTTTATAGAAAAATAAATATTCTTTATTTATAATAATATGTGTCGTTACTTATTTTTACGTCCATGTTCAAGTCTATTAGAAGTAGGTAACCTATACACCTAGCAAGTTCTTCCTATAAGTAAGAATTACACCGATTTAACCATAGAGGTAAAAGAATAGAGTGGGAAAGGCGGCTCTAAAAGTGTCCGTCTAGTAGAAATTTGTGACGCTTGGCATCCAATGGCATCATATCTGAATAGTAACATAAGTTGCCAATGCGCATGCGCGATTACAGAGAGAAAGCTAGCGGTCTTTCATCTTCTTTCTTTTTCTATTAGAAGAACACTTTCACTTGTAGTAGAGTCTATATCTATACTTATACCTCTATGATGTTACACAGTAACAACTGTCAAATGCGTGTCGGGCCATGGTCATTGGCAATGTGATTCTGTAGGTAGTACATTAAAAATTTCCGAAATTGTTTGTTTTCGTATTTCTTAGGCTTCGAATTTGAATTGAATCAGTCAATATCGAAAACAATCATTTATTTTAAGAAAATTTTACTAGAAAAAATCCATACGTATGAAGCAGCCGGGTCTCGAAACTGCACCCTCATCCTAGCAGCCTCAGAAATACTAGGAGATATTTGACACGGCCATTAAGGTCGTGGTAGGTCAGTGCATCCACCTGGTTCGAGTCCTGTCGTTTCCTCAACTGCGTGGATTTTTTTCTGTTGAAATTTTAGTTATATTTACTAGTAAATAACTGCTAGATGTTTAAATCAAAAGAAAGTTTAACTAGAAAAAAATCCACGAGCTCCAGGCAGCAGGTGGGACTCGAACTCGCACCCTCCGCTATCCTGGCGAGTGTACTAACCATTATGCTACTGCAGCCCTGATGGCCGAGTCGAATTCTCTCTAGCATTTCTTAGACTGCAAGGCAGTGCTTATTCTTCGCATTGTAGGTAGCCCGAAATGTGAAATGAATAATTCACATTCAATAGATATTATATCACCTTCGATATATATCGAATGATCTGGCTTTTATCGAAGGAAAACCTTTTTGCCCTATTCTCACCATGTCGCAATAGATATTTATCTACGGATGATCAGTAGACATACATCGACTGGTAAAGAGCCTTCGATATATAAATATCTATGGATCTTGGCATGTCAATCTTGTTATTTCCACTTTTTTACCTATTATTTATTGTGTTGTCGTGTGTCTTTGCCAGTTATTGTTACCTCAAGATGTTGTTAACTGCCTTCATAAATAATTAGTAAATAAAGAAGTAGGTAAACAATGGTGTCGATTCTGGCGTGATTCTCTAAACTTAAAACTAAATTTATTATCAGCCTCTCTTTTTCATTCTGTATAGAGAATGACAAGGAAACACTGTTGTCAAGTTTAAGTTTAGATTTAGAGAATCGTGCCAGAATCGACACCAGTTTATATTAACGATGGATGAGTTGATTCATGTTTTCGTCAATGATTTAATAAATTACGTGATTGCTGCTGCTGTGCTAAGGCGCCGCCGTTGTGCGAGCAAGAGGGCCCATTTGAAATGAGGGACGCGGACTTCATAAAAAAATTACGTTTAAACAAAAATTTCGTTAGAAATCTTCTAAGTTATGAATGACATTGGTATCGATTCTGACACGATTCTCTAAACTTAAAACTAAATTTAACACCAGTCTCTCCTTTTCATTCTGTATGGAGAATGACAAGGATACAATGGTGTCGATTCTGACAGGATTCTTTAAACTTAAAACTAAATTTAACATCAGTCTGTCCTTTTCATTCTGTATAGAGAATGATAAAGATACACTGTTGTCAAATTTAAGTTTAGCTATAGAGAATCTTGCTAGAATCGACATCACTGTTGTCAAATTTACGTTTAGATTTAGAGAATCATGCCAGAATCGACACCATTTTCTTACGGAGTTTTGGCGGGATTTCTGCGAGTGCGGTTGGCATCTTATTTTAATTATTCTAAAATTCGTTCATAGTGGATATTGTGAAATAAAATTGGTGTGATTTGGTGTTACAACCGTCTGCGCAACTAAAGAATTAGTGGAATCTTTAAAATATACGCTATTCCGGTCAAGTGGACGCGAGAACTTTATTGTAGTGTTGACTACCTCACAGAAGCTTAGAGAAAAAGCTGACTCCATAAATTTCGTGCCAAACACTCCAAGAAACATTAAAATGCGTCACACCGACATTCGAATGTAATAAAAAGAAGATTAATATAACTAAAGACTAGGCTTTATGGGCATTGTTCCCTTTGCCTTCCCTGAAAAGGGAGAATTTTAAATAATATTGACGTTTCATTATACATAACTTTGAAATTATATACGCATACAATTTAGGTAAAGTTGAGATTTCTTATACTCAAAAAATGTATACACACATTTAATATGAATGGAATTCATAAAATATCATTTCGTTGCTTGTAAAATTCTGCTCTAATTTATTATTAATTTATATAGACTATGATGTTAACTTAATCGAGAAAAACGGAACGCATTCGGCAGTGAAAGAATATCTACGATAGATATAATATCATTGGCATATCGAAAATCCACGAGAATAGCATTTTTTACCATCAGTAGATATTTTCAATAGATATCCCTACTTTCGATATTATCTCGAAGCCGATATAATATCTACGCCGCGAGAATTGGGCCCCTGTAAATGAAATAAAATCACAAAAGACAGGACTGTATAAACTTTATATTATTTGCTATCATATACCGGGAAAATATTACAAAAATACATAAATGTCACCGTCAGTGTCACTGTCATTGTCAAGGAAAAAGCGCGGGAACGTTTGACGAGCTTGGCGGTCTTTTTTAAAGAATAAAACTAAATTTATTAATTTTGTATATATTTATTGTGAATAGTGTTTTGAATAGTCTTTAATAAAAGTGTGTACATAGTGTATTAAAAAAATGAGGAATAGGAAGAGTAGAAAAAGGAAAAAACAATTAGATGAACAAGGCGGCGTGGATGGAGATGGCTCTGAAGATTCTAACTTTAGCGACGTCTCCTCCATACAGTCTCTAGAAGAGAAAAAAGAAAGCTTAAACAAATATAAAGATTTCCGAATCCCTAATTACGTTCGATTTTACCCAGAACAAGGCGGAAGTTTCGAATATGTGGTATTCATTGAGAGTACAAAATCTGATCAGCCTATTGGTAATCGAGACATGATGGGATTAGCAAACTGCTTGAAGCGATATAACAAAGGTGTAAAACAGTTGCGAAGAGTGAATAAATATAAAATCGGTGTGGTATTTGAACGTCCTGGTCTGGCTAACGCGGCATTACAGAATAGAAAATTCTTGGAAGCATACAACCTGTCGGCATCTATTCCGGCAGCAGCTAGCGAAGTCACAGGTGTCATCACTCATGTGCCCACAGAATTATCGAATGAACAAATATACTCTGCATTGACTTCTACAAAAAATATCGTAAGCATTCGACGTTTTATGAGAAGAATAAGGACTAATAATGGTGAAAATAAATTGGAGCCGACAAAGACAGTTTCTATCACATTTTCATGCCCAGTATTACCTGAGAGTGTCGACCTCAACAGCTGGCGTTTCGAATTACGACCCTACATACCCCCAGTCAAGCAGTGTCTTAAGTGCCTGAGGTATGGACATATTGCCAAATTTTGTAAGAATGCAGAACGATGCTCCATATGTGGTGAGTCACATAACTTTAAACTCTGTACAAAATCAAGTCAGGATGCTGTATGTTGTCATTGCAAGGGGAACCATGTGGCTATTTCGTCACAGTGCCCTGTAAAAAAAGAAAAAATATTATTAAATAGAGAAAAGGCTCAGAATAAAACATACTCTGCTGTAATTAATGAGAAATCATTCCCTCCCTTGAAACAAAGCCCCACTGATATGCTAGCATTGCTATTAAACTCTGATTTTATTTTGAATATGGTTGTAGAGTCAATTGTCAAATTAATAACAATGAACAAAAACAATGAAACAGCTATTTCCACACAGAGTATAAAAGATACTCTCTTGGAAACAATAAATAAAAATAAGAAACAAAACACTTAATCTTTTTTTTTTTTTTATGGATTTTTTAAATATAATGCAATGGAATGCTCAGAGTTTACCTGCACACAGATTTTACAAACTTATTAACAAATTTTCTACAAGAGAATCAGATTCATGTAGCTTTGATTTCTGAGACATGGTTAAAACCACACATTCAGTTTACTCTCAAAAGTTATGATATAATTAGACTAGATTCAGGTAACCGCCATAATGGCGTTGCCATTTTTCAATTCAAAATATAGCTGTAAGATTGTATTATGGAAATCAAGAAATTTCTCTTGTGTCTTTATATAGTCCAGGTAACTGTAACCCTTCATTTTCTAAATCAAAACTTGATTATTTAATCAGCAGTATCCCTGGGCCTTTGCTGATTGCTGGCGATTTTAACGCCCGGCATACAGCATGGGGCTGTAGCTCTATTGATTCACGTGGGCGCGATATTATTGAAAGCATCAATGACAACAACTTAGTACTCCTAAATGATGGTCAGCTGACAACTGTTGGCTCTAGTGTATGGCAAAGGAATGCTTTGGATTTAACACTAGTATCACCCTCTTTGGCTTTGAGATGTGAATGGTCTGTTTCTGATGACCCTTTAGGCAGCTACCATTTACCTGTAATTACAAAATTAGAAATTAGTAATAATAAAGACTCATTTTTAAAGAATAAAACTAAATTTATTAATTTTGTATATATTTATTGTGAATAGTGTTTTGAATAGTCTTTAATAAAAGTGTGTACATAGTGTATTAAAAAAATGAGGAATAGGAAGAGTAGAAAAAGGAAAAAACAATTAGATGAACAAGGCGGCGTGGATGGAGATGGCTTTGAAGATTCTAACTTTAGCGACGTCTCCTCCATACAGTCTCTAGAAGAGAAAAAAGAAAGCTTAAACAAATATAAAGATTTCCGAATCCCTAATTACGTTCGATTTTACCCAGAACAAGGCGGAAGTTTCGAATATGTGGTATTCATTGAGAGTACAAAATCTGATCAGCCTATTGGTAATCGAGACATGATGGGATTAGCAAACTGCTTGAAGCGATATAACAAAGGTGTAAAACAGTTGCGAAGAGTGAATAAATATAAAATCGGTGTGGTATTTGAACGTCCTGGTCTGGCTAACGCGGCATTACAGAATAGAAAATTCTTGGAAGCATACAACCTGTCGGCATCTATTCCGGCAGCAGCTAGCGAAGTCACAGGTGTCATCACTCATGTGCCCACAGAATTATCGAATGAACAAATATACTCTGCATTGACTTCTACAAAAAATATCGTAAGCATTCGACGTTTTATGAGAAGAATAAGGACTAATAATGGTGAAAATAAATTGGAGCCGACAAAGACAGTTTCTATCACATTTTCATGCCCAGTATTACCTGAGAGTGTCGACCTCAACAGCTGGCGTTTCGAATTACGACCCTACATACCCCCAGTCAAGCAGTGTCTTAAGTGCCTGAGGTATGGACATATTGCCAAATTTTGTAAGAATGCAGAACGATGCTCCATATGTGGTGAGTCACATAACTTTAAACTCTGTACAAAATCAAGTCAGGATGCTGTATGTTGTCATTGCAAGGGGAACCATGTGGCTATTTCGTCACAGTGCCCTGTAAAAAAAGAAAAAATATTATTAAATAGAGAAAAGGCTCAGAATAAAACATACTCTGCTGTAATTAATGAGAAATCATTCCCTCCCTTGAAACAAAGCCCCACTGATATGCTAGCATTGCTATTAAACTCTGATTTTATTTTGAATATGGTTGTAGAGTCAATTGTCAAATTAATAACAATGAACAAAAACAATGAAACAGCTATTTCCACACAGAGTATAAAAGATACTCTCTTGGAAACAATAAATAAAAATAAGAAACAAAACACTTAATCTTTTTTTTTTTTTTATGGATTTTTTAAATATAATGCAATGGAATGCTCAGAGTTTACCTGCACACAGATACTTATTAACAAATTTTCTACAAGAGAATCAGATTCATGTAGCTTTGATTTCTGAGACATGGTTAAAACCACACATTCAGTTTACTCTCAAAAGTTATGATATAATTAGACTAGATTCAGGTAACCGCCATAATGGCGTTGCCATTTTTATTCATAATAGTTTGCAATTCCATAAGATAGATATGATGATTCAATTCAAAATATAGCTGTAAGATTGTATTATGGAAATCAAGAAATTTCTCTTGTGTCTTTATATAGTCCAGGTAACTGTAACCCTTCATTTTCTAAATCAAAACTTGATTATTTAATCAGCAGTATCCCTGGGCCTTTGCTGATTGCTGGCGATTTTAACGCCCGGCATACAGCATGGGGCTGTAGCTCTATTGATTCACGTGGGCGCGATATTATTGAAAGCATCAATGACAACAACTTAGTACTCCTAAATGATGGTCAGCTGACAACTGTTGGCTCTAGTGTATGGCAAAGGAATGCTTTGGATTTAACACTAGTATCACCCTCTTTGGCTTTGAGATGTGAATGGTCTGTTTCTGATGACCCTTTAGGCAGCTACCATTTACCTGTAATTACAAAATTAGAAATTAGTAATAATAAAGACTCATTTGAAAATTTACTTGCACTCCCTACATATTTTAATTTCCGTCTAGTAGACTGGCAAAAATATAGTGAAAATGTAGATTTCTTATTAAATAACAATTTACAATTTGACCAGTCTAATCCATTAAAATGTTATTCAGATATGGTAATATTATTAAATCTAGCGCTGCAGCAGTCTGTTACTCACACTAGTAGACAGTTTGTTCAACCACAAATATCAGCTCTAAAAGCTTTTAAGAAACGTGTTTCATTGCCTTGGTGGAATAACAACTGCAAAACAGCTGTAGATAATTGTAGGAAAGCTTATACCGAATTTAAGCATAACCTCTCAGAGGAAAGTTACCTTAAGTTTAAAAAGTTACAAGCTTTGAAAAAGCTCATTTTAAAAAAGGAAAGGAACTTAAGTTGGATGTCATTGTGTGAATCACTTAATCGATGTACTCCTATTTCAAAGCTCTGGAGGATTGTCAGGAGGTTTAATGGTATTTCTGTTCCATCTAAAAATGTATATAGTGAATGGGTACCAGAATTTCTCAAAAAATATACACCAGATACCGTAGAGGTCCCTTTGACATTTGTAAATAGGAATCCTGTACATAATTGTAAATACTTAGAAATGCCATTTAACATACAAGAATTTAAAACTGCAGTTTCTACTCGTAGGGATACAGCTCATGGCCTCGATGGTATTCCTTATAAAATGCTAAAATATACTACAGATAAAACAAAGAATATCATCTTAAAAGTTTATAATTTGTTATGGTCTTGCTGTGTTATACCTATTGACTGGAAAAAAGATTGTTTGGTCCCCATTTTGAAACCAAATAAAGATAAGACTAAAGCAAATTCATACCGGCCAATAGCATTGACATCATGTATGGGAAAAGTATTTGAACAGCTACTCAAACAAAGAGTTGAATTTTTCATTGAAAGCAATAATCTATTACCTTCCAATCAATTTGGTTTTCGCAGGGGCCGATCCTCTAGAGAGAGTATAGCACATCTTCAACTAGACATTTTTGATGCACTTAAACAAGATGAAGTCCTTATTGGTGTGTTCTTTGATGTTGTTGGTGCTTTCAATAATGTAAATCCTCATATTTTAGCATGTGAACTTTTTTCTCTTGGTTTTCCTGAAAAAGTAGTTATGTGGATTTTTAATTTTTTGCATGGTCGTGAGGTTTATGTCAAGTCTAATAATCAATTAATAGGACCACGCTATTCATATAAAGGTGTCTGTCAAGGAGGAATTCTATCTCCATTGTTTTACATTCTTTATGTACACAAACTAAACATCATTTTAGGATCACAAGTAAAAAACTTGCAATTTGCTGATGACTTGGTCATTTACCATTCAGGTTCTGATATTCAACAGGTAACCTCTACTATAAATAGAGCACTTTTAAAATTAAATGAATATTTCAGTTATTTAAATTTAGATATTAGCCCTGACAAATCTAAAACAGTTGTATTTGGTGATTGTGATACAAATGTTGATATTGTATATAATAATGTCATTGTCCCTGTAGAGAGTGAAGTAAAATTTTTGGGTGTTATTTTCACCAATAATCTTTCATGGAAAAAATATGTAGAATATCTTTTGGGGAAAGCTTACAAATGTCATAAAATGTTTATCAAAAATTGACCCTAAAATATTATTGATGTTATACAAGTCAATTGTTAGAAGTCACTTTGAATATGGATTTTTATGTTTTGGATCTGATTCTCAATTAGTAAGAAAATTAGAAGTCTTGCAGAATCATAATCTTAGATGCATAACGGGTGCTATGAAAACCTCTCCTATCAACTCTCTGGAAGTAGAATGCAATACACCTCCACTTCAATTAAGATTTAAATTTTTAAAATCAAAGTTTTTGATTAAATTACTGTCATTTCATTCCCATCCATTAATTAAAAAAATTAACTTTCTATATGGAATATACTCTCCAACTAATATGTCTAGGATCCCTTATTTGCTTCATGACTTCTCAGAATATATTAATTACAACCAGCAGTACAACATTAATAAAACTGAGCATAATTGGATATGTTACAAAGAAACTTATGATATGCATTTCTGTGACATAAGCATCCATATATCGCCCGACTTGAAATTTAAAGAAGAAGTTTACAAAAAGATTGATAAGTTTTCCAATCATAAACATATTTATACAGACGGTTCCAAGAATGATGATAATGTTTCAATGGCGATTTACATACCTCATTTGAAAACGGGTCTAGGGTACAAACTTCCAAGCCAGATGAGCATATTTTCTGCGGAGTGTCTTACAATTCTTTCTGCATTGGAGTTTATAGAGGAAAATATTCAGGAGTGCACTCAATGGTTGGTGTTAACAGACAGCATGAGTTGTTTACAAGCTTTGCGAAACAATAGATTTGACTCTGGAAGTAATTTTATTTTACATGATATTAAAAAAATGTACCACAAACTTAAAGTCCTCAATGTACAAATAGTTTTAATGTGGGTTCCATCGCACATAGGAGTCATCGGAAATGAGAAAGCTGATACGTTAGCCAGAACCATTTTAAATCGAAGCAATGATGACGTTGACTTTAAAAATGTTGCCATACCTTTTTCAGATTTATTACCCAAACTAAAACTTTTGTTAAAACAAGATTGGTTGATTAACTGGCATCAAACGCTAGTAATAAAAGGAAAATGGTATCATAAAATTAATAATGTAATTGGTCAACATCCATGGTTTACAAAATCTAAAGAATACCATAGTCGGAAATTTTATACGACCATCACACGCTTGAGAATTGGACATGGACGTTTTAATTCACATTTATATAGAATGAATATAATTACATCTCCGTTATGCACAAACTGTAATTTAAATAAAGATCAAACACTAAACCATATATTTTTTGAATGTACAGCATATAATATACAAAGACTTGTTTTAGCTGACAATTTAATTAAATTGTATAAAACTAATAATGAAATCCCGCGCGACATTCAAGACATTGTTATGAATCCAAAATCATACAAATATCTATATATTTTTTTAGTTTCCATAGATATGGAACTTTAAAAAATTTCATGACTTTAAACAAATAAGATTGAAAGAAAGAAGATTCAAATTGAAAGAAGATTCAAAATCGGATTTGAAAATTTGGGGGAAACAATAAGTACCTAAACTGAAAATGGATTAGAAAGACTATTGACTAAGTGGCTTCGGCCTTATAGAAAAAAGAAACAAAAAAAAATCCTTTAAATGAAGACTATGGCTGCATGGCTCTGCCTTTGCCTTTCCCAAGATGGGAAAAAAGATATAAAAAAAAATGTCATTGTCAATGGTAAATATAGTGTGAAAAATAAATTGATAAAGTAAAGAACTATTTTTTAATATTAAATGCAGGTGTAACTTGTCATAAATTGTTCTATTTGGTTGTACAAATTATAGAATATTTAACCAATATTCTTCAAAAAACGGTGAGTACATGTTGGACTTTGATTTAATAATGATTTTAAACTCCAAGTATTGACAGCTTATTTGCACGATCATTTTCATAAAAACCTCTCGTATTGCATGCAGCGTAACCTAAACCAGAAGATGGATCCTAAACAAGGTTGGTTGCACCAACACAAATTACGTACCTATCTATAATGTCGTGAGTCGTGTCACTATAAGCAAAGATTGATCTTGACCAAATCAGGGAAAACCTTGCTTTATAAACAAAATTTTCATAGGTACTTTTTATGAGTGTGTTGTACATTGTGTAAAACATCTCATTGTTTTGTGAACACTGTAGTGAAGGTAGCTTGGTGTATTGAAAAAATCATTTAGTAGCTACAAATATAACCTGCATAATGTACCCTTTATTTTACTTATGATTTAATCGCAAATCCGTGTTAGTGTTATTTAACAGGAATTGATTAGGAATAACAATATTAAATAAATGAATTTAAATGTGCTTTATGATATAAACTATCTAATTTAATGAAATTGTAAATGTTTTTGTTCAAATTCACTTACAAAAGAATCAATGGATGTAAATATCTGTATAATTTTTATATTGATATTAATGTTGTGCTACAAATGATAATTATGTTAAAATTTAAATTTACAGATACTTTTAATGAATCCGTATCATCAATATTAGAAAGGAAAGTGAGAGGTTGGCTCAGTGGTGTGATTGACGACATGAGACGTAGTAGCCCTGTGCAGCAGTGGCTGGATTCACTACCTCCTGAAACTGTGATTGAATCTGAAAAACCAGATGAGGATGCAGCAGTTGAAGAAGTTAAATCAAACATAAGCAACCCAGATGCATCTGCAACTGAAAATACAGTTGTAGAAATAATTGGTGAAGAACAAACTTTGATTGAGAAGTCATGGGACAAATCAAATGATGATAAAACATTAGAAGTTCCTGGCTCTAAAGAAGCATGGAAAAGAAAGTCTTTAGATAGTGGCATGCTGAGTGGCACTCCTAGAAGTAGCAGCATAAAGAGGCTGCAGAGAGATCACTCTGTGCAATCTGAAGGTTGTTCACCAAGGTTCAAGAATCCTTTGCTCAGGGATCAGTCTTTACAGGTAACTTTATATGGGTGGTGTTATTGATGAAAGTAGGTAATTATAATGCATTACAAAGCACCTATTCAGTTCTGCTGCTTTAAAAGCCCAATATTATTTTAACATGAACAGCTAAAACACTCAATGATTGAATTACGAAAACACAGGTGATGGCGAACATCTCCCCAGTGGAGTAATGTATACACCAGTTTTCAATGTGTCACCTACTCAGATATCCTGGGTTTGAATCCCGGTAGGGTAAATGTTCGCATGATGAATACAAGCATTTGTAACTTAATCATGGCTGTTAATAAATATTGTGCTTTTCTATCTGTTACCCTAATATCCCATAACATAAGTTGTATGCTACTTATTTTACAGAATAATTGATGCGTGTAAAAAGCTGGCCTGAAAAGTGTTTTGAAGTGCTCCTCTACTGAATATTTTATTAATGATGTTTCTTAAAATTTTAGTCTGATGCAAGTGGATCTAGTGGTAGCTCAGTCTTGAATGTGTTGGGAGCAAGAAAAGTTGATGCTGAATCAGTTTTACTGGCATTAGGATTTGGACCAAGTGAAAAGCAACAGAAACTGCAGCGAATACCTGACAGATTCTTAGTGCCATCAAAAGTAAGGAATAGGGTCTTTAAACATATCTTCACAAATAATATGCAGAACATGAAGGACACTGCTTAAACAACAAGAAACTTCAACATACTATTTTGCAACATTGATTATTATCATGCTAATGCTAAATACTTATGCTTGAATATATATAACGGCTGTATACCTTTTGCATGGAATAGATAGAGTTTAAAAATTTTTTGGTCACCCATCCTATACCCCGCTATTGTGGAATTGGCTGATTTTCCAGACCAGAACAGAAAGCGCTCGCCACTGCGTCATTGAACTTCTTTATCCTGCTCTGCTGCTATTTTGTATGATCTATATTTTTTTTATGTACAGATGTTAAAAAATAAAAATCATGTCCTATGTTTCAGCTTAAAGGCATTAGTACTGATGAATTTATTAAAAATGAGCAACATTCTATGCGTATGCACGACTGTGGAGTTTTTGGATACAGAGGTCTTACAGGTGAGTGGGATCCATAGATTATTCATGTGTATGAAAGGTACTTTTTTTGGGTGATAGTTATAGGGACAGATATTATTTTTTAGACTAATACATACAATAATCTTTTATTTTTATATTTAATACTGAGTAATTTATTGATTTTTATATTATACTGTACTTATTTAATTATTTTACAAGTGTTATTGCAATTTTTATGTATATAGTTGGTGGCTTTTATTTTGCTTAAATTTATTTTGCGCTCTGGCTAATTGAAACAAATGTAATAAACCAATGTTTTCCAGAATCCTTTTTCCTGATTTGATATTTTAATAAAATAAATATATTCATGAGCATAGCTAACAACTAAAAACCGGTAAAGCTTAATTAGAATATTTATGTATCAATTTTCAGTAATTATGTAAAATCAGAGAATGTTAAGGTTACTAACATTCGTAACAGAATTAATGAGTCTTCAGGAAACTGGACTAAACAAAACTTTTGCATCTTATATTAATTAATATTATGGGTAACAGTTATCAACTAATTCAATTCCATTACGAGCTTCTTACTAATATCAAACAATTATTAACTTGCTAACAGAACACTGCACACCTGTATGCCGTTTCATGAAACCTGTGTCTTCAGATTATCATAGGTCATATCAAGTTCCTGAGATTGCCGTACAGTAAGTATCCATGTATTTATTATACTTATAGTAGGGGAGCCCACGAAGCAAAATAGGGATTTACTCGAGCGTTGTTGGGACCTAGTGGATTGTGAAGGTTAGACGCTAAAAAGAAAAAAGTTTACATAATGTATACCTTCTCACGGGTAGAGGCAGCATGTACAGGTTTACAAAAATTAAAAAAAATAACACTCACATAGACATACTCCAGTGCGTCAGATCTTAATAGTGTAATCGCTCCACGTGTCTGTATTAACGGAAAAGTATTAATCTGCCGGTTTGCATGGTGGGGTGGCCGAAAGAAGGGGTAAAAATAAGGAAAAAAAAATTGAGCGCGTCAGCGGAACTCTCCAGTAGCTCCTATTCAAACGACTGATAATTTGGAAGCGATCATCAGGAATGGCTCCCCTACTATTAATATGTGTTCACTACTCACCAAACTACTAAAAATAATAACCTTGGGTCTCATTTCATTTATATTTATGGTAGCTGTAATATTACATAATTAGTTAAAGAATTGGACATTCTAGCTCACAAATTGATTCCAAACGCTCGCAAAACTCGCTACGTCGTTGCTTCGTTTCACTCTGCCCGACGTTGGACACAATTAGTAAACTAGCAGGCCCATTTCATTTTTCTATTTGTTATATGCAGTGTACGTTTATATACACCAGCAACGTAACTGAATGTCATGTATGTGATGCCCATGATACGTAGAGGTCAATTTAGTCAGCAATTATGAAATTTGTTAAACAAAAAGAATCAATAAGTATGTATCTGCTCTGTAACAACTAACGTGCAAAAACGACATGGTAAAATATTGTCTTATAAAATACGTTGTATTGTTTGTGGTCCATCAAACTGTGGAAAAACCAATTTAGTAATAAGTTTATTGTTACATACGAATGGTCCACGTTTCAGAAATCTTTGTGTATTCTAAATCATTATATGAAGCTAAATACCTATATCTATAAAAAGATTTAGAAATGGTACCTGATACATCATTTTATAAATACTTAGTCAGGTCATAAATTCTGTCACATGTTTAATATAAAATAATTGAAACAAGTTTATTCATTATGTAACCATTTATATACCAAAATGAACTTTACAAAACATAGATTCCTATGACAATAAAGTTTATTCAAAATGACTTCCGTGATTTTGAAGATAGGCCTTCAATCTGCGCAGCCAGTCGTCTATCGCAACACGAACGAGGTCCATGTCAATATTGGCGGCTGCCTTAATCAAGGATGTCTTGAATGACTCCAATTGGGATGTGGCTTTGAGCACGCCTTTTCCTCCAAGTGTTGCCATATCTGGTAATCTAACGGACTCAAATCTGGACTGGAGGAGGGCCGTCTTCGTGCCGGATGAAGTCGATTTCACAGTCGATTTTCAGTCTTGTGTGCTCTTCGCTCCATGAGCTGGTGCCGAATCTTGTTGGAATACCCAGTGTCTGTTATTGAACATGGTATGAGAAACTGGTTCCATAAGGTTCGTCAGGATTGTATTTTGATACACAACTGCATTCGTTTTTACACCGTTCTTACAAAAATGTACTCTGTTAAGGCCCAATAAGTAACTCCCAGCTATACCATGAGCGAGGATGGAAAATGACCTTGTTGGACACGCGGAATACGGTTGCTCGCTTCTTCACTACTGTGTGCGTACACCTTATCATTTTGTTTGTTGTAGCTCTCTTCTACGGTAAAAATTTTTTCATCCGACATAAGATTTTCCCGATATTCTTTTCCCGCGTACCGCTTCAACAAAGCGCGGCATCTCTTCAGTCTCAGGTCCATTAGACGAGCATTCAAACAATGTCCTGTTTTCTTCGATATGCCCGAAGCATCTTCATTTAACACCTTTTCACCGTGGTTCTGCTTAACCGCATCTGAAAGGCCAACAGTTTCTGCTTACGTTTGGGATTTCTTTGAATTCGCGCCTTCACAGCTTTTATCACTGCTGGAGTCCTAACAAACCGAGGGCGACCACTTCTTGATCTGTCATCTATAATCATAATTCATAAACGAATCTTTTGGTTATATTCAAATTTTTCAGTATGTCAAAAATTTGAATTGGCGCATAACCGCAACGGTGCAACGCAATAACTGCAACACGCTCTTCTTTAAGCGTCCACTCCATATTTAAAAATGAGTAAAATTCTAAAAAGTATATATTTTTATTTTCATGAACAATTCGAATTCAATAAACTTTTGGCCAGCATTCCAAAAGAAAAGTTTTTACTGTGTGACAATACTTATGACCTGACTGTGTATAACCATAATAGTGAAATTTTGAGCTCACATAACAATTTAACAGATTCGATAATAATTTTCGACGACGTTGATTGTGAAAACCAAAACAACATCAGAGATTATTTTGCCTTGGGACGTCATAAAAACATAGATTGTTTTTCTATTAATCAAACGTATACAAAACTACCCAAACAACTTGTAAGAGACAATTCCAATTTGATTATATTATTTAAGCAAGATGATGTTATCCTCTGGGTCCTCCATGGAGTTTACTACTGGAACACAATTCAGTAGGTCCCTAAAGTATCGGCGCCAATCATTTTTGAGGTCTTCCGGAGGAGATTAGGTTGCCATCATCCTTTTGGAGCATTTGAGTAGTGGGTTGGAATCCCTTTCGAGCTGTTTTTAACTCCTGGTAGAACTTACGAGTTTCTCTGGTTTTAATAAAGGCTTCCATTGCTGTAAGTTTCTTTTCCAACTGTTCCCGTTTCGCTTTTCTGGCCACTGTTTAAAATTTTCTCCGCGCCGCCCAATACTGGTTATTCCACTCGCTGTAACAGCGAGTTAACTGAAAAAAGTTTGACACATATATCGTAGTGGATTGAAAAAAGTACATAACGGTTACTAAACTAGTAATGGTTCAGTTTCAATCGTGATTTGTAACGGAACATAATCCTCCTTTAAAATGGAAAAAGATCTTAAAAAACAAATCGCGAAGTCTGCAGCAGAAGAACCAACACCAATTTGGCATTTATGATAATTCTTAGTATATTTTTTTGCGATAATTATCAGTATTTAGATTGTCACGGACACTTCCAGTTAAGTAAGATAAATTAAAAAGTTAAAAAATAATCTGAGACAATAAATGCCATTTTATGTGTATAATCTATGACAGCGCTGCAAATAAAACACTTACTTCCTAATGCCGGCACTTCACTTGGCTATTCGTATTTGCTATTTTAAAACATGACATCAGTCTGTCCTTTTAATTCCTTATTAAGCATGACAAGAACAAACTGTTGTCAAGTGAAGGGCTGGCATAAAACTCGATAATCTGTGGTTGTGGTGCAAGCAGGCAGTTTGCATTCGTAGTAATCTGTGGCATTCGTGCATTCCAAAGAGTAGTTTAATATACCGGAAAGTGCATTTTCGTTTCGGATTACCTGTTGTATGTGTTTATTTGCGATTGTTTATCCTTTAATTTAACTATTTCGGCTATATAATATGCCATCGATGTTACCAAAGAGCGATGTTACCTTATTACCAGTGCTGCTAGTAAACCTTTGCCACAACATCCTGAGAGGATCATACTGCCAAATTATTCAAGAACACCTGATACACATTCACGCTGCATATTTACACAATATACATGAGATATACAGATAAATACAATATACAATTATGTGAAAAATAGTCAATAAATAAGAAGCAAAACTACAGTTTTTATTTTATTCATGATTCCTACCTAACCAAGTTTTTCCTAATAGTTATTCTTTAAGATCACACCGAATAAAATGAATTAGTTGTAATATTAATTCACTTCATACTGAGTTCATACTAAGTTCATTGGTTGACCTGTTTCATTGAATATTAAACATAACCTCAAAAAAAATTTAGTTTTCCTAATAATTTTAGTTCTCAGAAGTGTCCGTCAATAATCTTTGTTTTTACAGTCATTTACTTACGATTTCGAACCTAGAAAATAATATTTCATGATTGTTGGTTCTTAGGCTAACTATGTATGGATGCTGAACAATGTCCTTTAAATTGATAAAAACACAAAGCAATCAAATGATATGGTCTTGGAATCAATATTCAAACCCGTAGTTGAGCCACTGAGCTTGTTAACCAATAATACTGATTATAAACAAAAGCATATTGGAAAGGAAAATGGTTTTCCTCCGTCGAAAAAAATATAAATCAACGATAGTGAATTGTCATTTTCTTCTTATGAAGATACTGATGAATCTCTTAGTGAAGAAGAACAAGAAATAACCGAACCCACGAGGGTTCGGTGGCGAGGAATGAGAGAGATGTTTTATGGATACATGTTTATTGTACGGCGGCGTGTTAGTAAGTCCTTAGAACTACGTTTATATTATAATAGAACATAAGTGTTAAGTCAGCAGTATATATGTATCAGTCAATGGTTATATTTTACGGTATAAGTCTAAATTCGTACACTACAATATATGGAATGCGTTAAACGGACCACTAACGTAAATTTCAACAATGAAAACATTGTTTTTACTACTAGATTATGTTCTATTACTAAATATTATTCAAATCGCAAATTGAAAGTAACGGTTTAGTAAAAAAGCTAGGCGATTGATTGAACGGCTGATTGAGCTTGGGCTGCTGCGACATGTAAGACAGATAGCCTTACAACAAGTTACCACAAACCACAAAACTTTTTATTAGATTGCAAATATGATATCAGTCAGTATAAAGTCGGTCGAGGAAATAATCAATAAAAATGAAATAAAAAATTATATTAAATTGACTTCTAGTTTTTGACCTATTTCATTCAGCAGTAAAATCTCGAGTTTATAGCCTCTTCTTCTGGCACTATTGATAAGTAATTATAACTCCCCCTAGCGTAGTGTGATGAGATTCATATTTATCTTAAGTTCAGCTACAATAGATATGTTGGTCCGATGCTCTGTCCAGTGAATACCGAGATTTCTGACTATCACCACAGTTCTATGCGTCAATCAATCAATACGTATAAAATCAGCCTTTTTGTTTAGTATGTATAATAGGGGTGTAAAGGGTTCTAAATACACCTGCAAGAACCCAAGCCAACCTCACCTTCACGTGGTGCACCCTGTTGACCAACAGACGAGGCTCTGGCAAACCGACCGATGGCGGTATAACCATCTAACGACGTAGGGGAGGAAAATCTCACTGGTGACGGGCAGCAGCGTCATCAGTAAATAAACCTACGCTCTGCGATCGCCAACCCGCCTGCCCAGCGTGGCGATTATGGGCAAAACCTTCTATGCACAAAAAACACAAGCCACGGCCCCCAGTTCCCGGCAGCCCCGCTATTCCTGGTCACGGTGGCGACCACGGTAACGGTGGGGCGGGGGGTGCCAAGAATCTCCGGGCTACGGGAGGCCACCACAACAGACTGACCCTGGCGACGTACAACGGACGCACGCTACGGCTTGACTCGCATCTGGCGCAACTTGAGGTGGAACTTGGAAAGATTAGGTGGCACATTTTGGGGTTAAGCGAAGTCCGAAGAGAGGGGGAGGACACCATAACCCTCGAATCGGGCCACCTAATGTACTTCCGCGGGGGAGACCAACAGTCCCAAGGTGGCGTTGGGTTTTTGGTAAATAAGTCCCTTGCCGATAATGTTGTGGAAATGTCCAGCGTGTCGAATAGGGTAGTGTACCTTATTATAAAGCTCACCGAGAGGTATAGCCTCAAGGTGGTGCAAGTATACGCACCGACCTCGACACACTCGGACGAAGAAGTGGAGGATATGTTCGATGATATATCGAGGGCCCTCCACTCCACTACTAAGACCCACTACAACGTTGTTATGGGAGACTTCAACGCTAAAGTGGGAGTACAGACTTGCAGCGAATCGGTAGTAGGATCCCATGGATTTGGAAGCAGAAATCATAGGGGGCAAATGCTCGTCAACTTCCTCGAACAGCAGAGGCTCTTCTTGATGAACTCTTTTTTCAAGAAACAGCCCCAAAGGAAGTGGACGTGGCAAAGCCCCGACACTATGACTAAAAATGAGATCGATTTCATCATGACGGACAAGAGGTACATATTCAGAGACGTCTCCGTGATCAACAGGTTCAATACCGGTAGTGATCACCGACTCGTCCGGGGCTCTCTGAATATCAACTTTAAGGCCGAGCGCGTCCGTTTGATGAGATCTAGGCTCCAACCTACTTTGCTCCAATCTATAACAGGATCTGAAACGTTCCAGTCAAATCTGGAGAACCGATTTGCTGCCGTGGAAACCACATCAGACGTAAACCAAAACCTCGAAAATGTGGTTCGGATCCTCAGGGAAGAGGGTACGAGATTATGTGCAACGCAGCGTAAGGGCAGGAAGTCAAAGCTTTCGGAAGAGACTTTAGGGCTAATGAAGAAACGACGTGAAAATCCACCCGTCACTTCGTCGGCAAAGCGGACTCTAAACCAAGAGATCAGTAAGCACGTACGACACGACCTCCGATGCTCCAATACTCTCTCGATCCAGAGAGCGATCGAGCAGAATCAAGGGTCCAAAGTGTTCGTACAATCTCTTGGAAGAAGCCATCTGACGAAGTTGACCACAGCAAGTGGGGAAGTTGTTGCTTCAAAGCCGGCAGTCCTTTCGGAAGTGGAAGACTTCTACAGCCAGTTATACGCATCACATGCATCTCGACCCGATCCCGGAAATGAGGATTCTAGAGCCACATTAACACGCCACTACACCGAAGACCTGCCAGAAGTCAGTATTGGCGAAATCGAGATTGCTCTTGGACAGCTTAAAAATGGAAAAGCCCCTGGAGAGGATGGTGTTACAACAGAACTCTTGAAGGCTGGAAGTAAACCCGTACTGAGGGAGCTCCAAAAGCTTTTTAACACTGTCCTGTTCGAAGGGAGAACTCCGGAGGCGTGGAGTAGGAGTGTGGTCGTCTTGTTCTTTAAAAAGGGGGACAAGACCCTACTTAAGAACTATCGACCCATATCCCTTCTAAGCCACGTCTATAAGCTGTTCTCAAGAGTGATCAGTAACCGTCTTGCGCGAAGACTTGATGACTTCCAACCACCGGAACAGGCTGGGTTTCGGAGCGGATACGGCACCATAGACCACATCCACACAGTGCGGCAGATTATACAGAAGACTGAGGAGTACAATCAGCCCCTGTGCCTAGCATTTGTGGACTATGAGAAGGCCTTTGACTCGATTGAAATCTGGTCTGTCTTGGAGTCCCTGCAGCGTTGCCAAGTCGACTGGCGATACATCCAAGTGATAAGATGTCTCTACGAAGCCGCCACCATGTCTGTCCAAGTACAGAATCAGCAAACAAGTCCCATACCGTTGCATCGTGGAGTGAGACAAGGGGACGTTATTTCCCCGAAATTGTTCACTAATGCAATGGAGGATATGTTCAAGACGCTGAACTGGAAAGGACATGGCATCAACATAAATGGGGAACGCATCTCTCACTTGCGATTTGCAGACGACATCGTCATCATGGCAGAAACCCTGCAGGACCTACAACAGATGCTGAATGACCTGGCTGACTCTTCTATACGCATCGGCCTACGGATGAACTTGGATAAAACCAAGGTCATGTTCAATGAACATGTTCTACCGGAACCGATTGCAATACACGGTGCCGTTCTCGAAGTTGTTCAAAAATATGTATACCTCGGGCAGACATTGCAGTTGGGTAGAAACAACTTTGAGGACGAGGTGAATAGAAGAGTTCAGCTAGGTTGGGCAGCGTTTGGGAAGCTACGTCAAGTCCTGACATCGTCGATCCCACAGTGCCTAAAGACGAAAGTCTTCAATCAGTGCGTCCTACCTGTGATGACATACGGAGCCGAGACGTGGACACTGACGGTACGGCTGGTCCACAGGTTCAAAGTCGCTCAGCGCGCTATGGAAAGGGCTATGCTCGGCGTTTCTCTGAAGGATCGCATCAGAAATGAGGTAATCCGACAGAGAACCAGAGTTATCGACATAGCCCACCGGATTAGCAAGTTGAAGTGGCAGTGGGCTGGCCATATTTGCCGAAGAACCGATAACCGTTGGGGTAGACGAGTTCTGGAGTGGAGACCGCGTCTAGGCAAACGTAGTGTAGGACGTCCTCAGGCACGATGGAGTGACGATTTGCGCAAGGTGGCTGGCAGGAGCTGGATGCGAATAGCCCAAGATCGATCTGAGTGGCGTGCATTTGGAGAGGCCTATGTCCAGCAGTGGACTATGATGGGCTGTTGATGATGATGATTGATGATGTATAATAGTTAAGCTAGATGCATTACTTCAAACGTCAAGCCTTACATTAAGTTAATATCAATTGACTGACTAACGTTGACCTCCAGGTTTCTGTGCCTTATAGAAAGATGGAAAATACAAATGTGTTAATTTAATTTGAATGGTGATAAGTCTTCCTTGAAAATTTTCTTCTGACCTACACTTGCTTTAGCTGTGTTATATCAGAGAACATTATTCTAAGCCATCTCGATCGGTTTCTCACGTCCCGCTTACTTTACACTAAATAAACCTTATCATTTGTTTAAGTATTATTATTATATTACTTATAGGAGAGCGAAGATTTGGTTAAAAAATCATCCTTTTTTTTAAATTTAAAGGTACTCGTTTGTTTTTGTTATTTATAGCGGCTGATTATATTGGTCGATGTATTTGTTTATTTATATTGAACGTTATTTATTGTCTCTATTACCAATTTTTAGGGAATCCTCATGTTCCACCGTCGACAATTGTAGCTAAAATTATGGAATGCATCTTGCACGACGACGTGAGCCGCGAGGAGGCGCTCTCTAGGGCCCGGCACTCCATCGCCGACATGCGGTGTCCGCCCGCCGCTTACGGCTTTCTGGCATCACGATTTCGTAATCATTAATCCGTCAAATTTTAAAAAAGAAAAAAATACATATAGCGTTCCGAATAAATGATCTTAATATATATGATCAAGTAACCTTAAGTTTATCGCGAAAGACGAAAATACACAGCAATCATGTTTAATTCACAGATGGATGGCAGAATTGTACACATGCCTTATGTCATTGGACATTACTGTAGGGTAGGACATAATAAGTAGCGATTTATTAGAGCATGCCTGCCATGAACATTCAAATAATTTCCAGTAAAATTAATTTTAATTTATTTATTTTGTCGTTTCGTATGTTCAAAATATTTGTCCACTGCCCATTGTCTGTGGTTCTTAAGGGCACGTTCTCACCTGTGTCGTGGTGTTTCTTGTATTGTTAAGCTATTGCATAGATTTTATCGCGGGCTTTGAGCGCGGCGACCGAATCAAGAAATTCCGTAACGAAAATAATGTGGCAAAAGTGCATATGAACACAATTTTTGCCTTTCCAGTATCGATCGAAACGGCGCAGTGTGTTAAATTTTTGCCACGGGCCCAACGTTCGACGCATCACCGCGGTCGTCGGTTCAAATCCCGCACTCGTATTTTTTATTTTTTATTATATTTTATTTCCTTTTTTTATATATTTGTTATAGACCCTAGCACCTGTTCTTATTTTTATTTGTCTCCCTTTTATTTAGACTTTATAATTATAATTAAATTTTTGGGCTAAAAATGGTAAACTGTGGAGCTTGTGGAAGTTTTTTGGCGCCGGGCAATGCTGTTGTTTGTTGTGCTTGGCCAATAAAATATCACAAGGCCTGCCTCGCCATCTATTAATATCAAAGAAAAAAAAGTACTGCCTATATAAAATAATAAATAATTATAATTGCATAAGTTGATAAATAATGCTATGCAATAGCTTTACCGCGGCAGTCCCCGAGTGTATTTTTTTTTTCTTCTTATATAGCTATAGTCATTAACCCTATTTATTCGATAATTGGTCGTCGTGTTTGTTAACATATCAAAATGACTTAAAGACTTGATAAATGAATTAATCGTAATCACAGTGCTTATTTCGCGTTGTCACACTATGATAATATCATAGTCAGTCGTTTTAAACTGGGTAGTTCTTTGTGATCGTCATACAAATAAGTACTAAGATTCGAACTCAGAACCGTTGAAGCAGGAGGCACGAGCACCGCCGTTGCTTAAACCGGTCACCATCAGATGGGATGGGACAAATTTGCGCCATGTACTTATAAAAAATGTTGTGAACAGTTTAGAAGCTGTCGTCTTAAAGTAAGACCATAAACACAAGTTGTGACATATCTGTCGTCACGACCCAGTGGAACCGCGCCCTGTGACGCACATTAATATTGTAATTACTAAAATATTTTATGTAGAAGTGTCTTTAATTAATGTCAGTTAAAATATGTGATTCCAAAATGAAACAATGTGCAATATCAAATATATAATATTTTAATAGATCTTCGTTATTAAATACCAAATATATGTATTTCAGAGATACAGAAGAATAAAATTTATATAAATCTACTGTTTTTAAATTAAACAATAAAAGACAATTGCGATTTAAGTATAATGTATGGGATGGAAATTGGGTAATAAACACAATCCAGTTATAGTTTTAAATCTATGCATAATAATATGTTTTTAAGATTTTAATCTTATATTCTCAATTTACCTACATCTTAGATTAAAACAAAAAGACAAGATACGGTACGCTCATAATAGCATCAAATAAAATATGATCCGACTTAACTACATAAGCAACTCCCACACACGCACATAAACATCGATCGAGCGAGACAGAACCGTACGCGTCTAGGCAGTGCGAGCGAAACTTCTGAGTCCGTACGGCTGAGCTGTATTGTTGTCCATTTCTTGATAACAATATGGCGATTACGTAAATAACATTCACGACAAACCGTGGTTATTGAGAAAAAAATGTTTTTACAGTTTTACGAATGAAAAGTGTTGCCGAGGCATTTGATTTTGAACTATTTGTGTTCTTTATAAAAGCATCGAAGGCATTGTTTTATCTTTATAACGCAGAATATACGCAATATTGTTATATTGACTACATATGCAGCGTGTTTAAATGTCAAATTATGACTAAAGCGAATTGTTGTCGTCATGCACCACAATTTAAGCGTATCACTTTTGAGCCGCGAGTGCCGATCTTCCCTTTTTGTTTTAATCTAAGACCTTCATGTAATTTATAGCTGAAAAATTGTACTTGTTTAGGCGTCGTTCTAATTAATAATCCAGATATTCGATCATCAATAGTTAATTAATAATAATAATTAATATAAAATTTTCCAATACACCAATTATGTTATGAGACTTGTGTTATGAGATACTAGGGTAATAGAATACATATACTGATACATATTGTATAAGTATATTTATATAGAAATACATATTAAACATCCATGACTGGAGTATAAATGCTCGTATTGTTATATAGTTCTACATGCATTTGTTTAATCACAAGTTTGTACGAACAACTTCGCAATTATGTGTTTAATTAGAACGAACGTCTAATAAAGACACATTTAGAAGTCGCTATGAGACAGCGAATTTCGAGTGTCCCAATCTTTCAATTGAATTTAATTCTTCAGAGCTTAAAATGTAGTTAGGTATTCTTATAAGACGTTTTCTAAAAAATCTATGTTGACTGATGTCTAATAATAATTCATAGTCTGTGTACTTATCATGAAATGTGTCTAGATCAAAGACATACTTTATTAGATGTGTAGTTACATATAAGTTACTGAAACTTGCCTCAAAATTTTGAAGAGTTCTTTAGGTATCAATATGTAGTACAAAGTCTACTTACAAATTTTGTTATACTATTTTATTAGTTGTTAAGTGCATAAAATATATTTTATTTTTATCAAATTCCTCGTTCTAAACACTTTCAATCTCTCTTTTCTATCTCGTGTTGTTATATTCTAAATAAATTTTAAACTACCTTGTTGTAAATTATAAAAAGTAAGTAACTTAGAGTGAATCTAAATTTCTCATCTATTTCTATATATCTTTTTTATCTATTTATAAACTAAGTACTTACATAAGATCTTAGAAGAATCTTTAAATTTATATTTACCTAACTCACTTGATGTATATTAAATTATATAAATTAATCGTGTATAAAACAGCCGTTTAAATCAGTGATATAATTATTTTTATTAAATTATTGTAGATCACACCCCAAGTATTCTTTAAAAAATATATTCAATGTACAGTTTTGACTTTCCTACCATTTTATTATATGTATAGATAAAAGTAGGTTCCTACATGCCATAATACCTAAACCTTCCACATTCAAAAAGGCAACCGATCTTTTTGACCGGTATCGTGTACTTCTTCACAAGAATAGTCGATTTATTTCTAATCTACTTAATGTGTTGAAAATTTATTAAATATTGATGAGAAATAATACCACTAAATCAAAAAAGAAACAGTTCCGTTCTTTTAAGTTTATTTTTTAAATAATAGTCGCGCCGGCGCGCTGTATTTTGATAATACAAATACGGACGTGATTTCTTGCATTTAAAAATATACGTACGTAATATAAGTATTTTTAACTACCTAAAATTGTAACAGTTGTTTTTCATTCCACTGTTATAAAAAAAAAAAGAAACATCACGTCTTTAGTAGGTAACTACGTACGTACAACTAGTTTGAATTGTATCAATTTATATTTTACCATTCTCACTAATATAACGGCAGTTTCCAATAACCTGTCGCCAGTAAGAAATAGTTTTATCATAGTTTAATTTCTAATCAAGGTGTAATTCTTCCATAATTTAGAAAAATATCTATATTGGTACTGATCTTTTTTCAATTATGATGAAGGTATCAATAATATGTTATCCATCACATTGTTTTTATAAGTGTATAAAAGAAATCATTTAACTGAAAGTTCTATTGTTAACGCTTGGTTGACGCAAAGAAACTAGATTACGGTCCCGAAAGTACTCATTTTTTTATGAATAACTACCGAATTTGAATCGGAAAGTAATGATAAAACATTCGGCAAATATTTCTCGATTTTCATGATATATTTTTTAGTAAACTCGCTTCTATGCGTTAACACCCCTTTGTAGCCAGTATCATCGCAGTTCTTGACATTGTAAATAAAAACACTACTTGTTAGTATTGGGTTAGAACTACGATTGAAAACAATCTACGATGCCCCCGAAATTTTGTGATACTTACGAACATTCACAAGCCAAGTTTTGTGAATCACTGTGAATCCCAACCCCCAAGCATGGTTTTTATTATGTACTATCGCCAGCCAAATCAGTGCATTTTAATTAAATAAGAACCAAAAATACAAAAATGGTCATATTCTTAAAATTTTATTATTAAATTGGTGAGGTACTTATTTATAGATTTAACGGACGGTTTGGGTAATAAAGATGCGACGGTTTATAAATTGCGGTTAATCTCTTTGAAATACGTGCCTTAAATTATCCAGTACATACATATAATATGAGAATACAGATTAATTTAATTCTTAATTGTACTAACTTAAAACTTAAAAGTCGTTAATGGGTTCTTTTAGACCCTGAAACTTATTTTTTTTATTTGGATCCAAGTAGGTACCTGCACATTGAAAAACTAGACTGCCCCTAAAAATCAAGTAACTGTAAATCTGAAAGGACGTAGGTAGGGACTTACTCTGATTGTCCGTAACCAAAGTCTCGTTTGTATAACAGCAAGAATGCCCTTACAACTTCAATCGAATTATACCTAATGTCATGTAAATGGTTCATACTTATTACTAGTATCACAACTGAATATTCTCAAGATGCAAAATTTTTAAGTTTTTTGGAAATACAGACTTATTTTGCGGACTATCAGAGGCTTCGGTCCTGGTTATAGCAGGCAGGCATTTATTTCAGTGTTAACTACCTTGTGCTAATCAATTTCTCAACATGAGTACTAACATTTCGTTTAGAAAAGAGTCCAGTGGCTTTTGTATATAAAACAGAACATCG